CCAAACATGCTCGCCCTTTCAGCCGTGGGGGCGTTATGTGACGGTAAATCCAACTATTTGTTGGTAAAAGAGTAGCCCAAGAGTTTACATATAAATAATGTAAATAATTTACATATTGAGTTTCTATTGTGTATAAACATTTTCGTAAACCACTGCTGTTAATTAAGTTTAATATTAAACACATTTTACATTGTCAATTTAAAGTAAATTATTTTGATTTGTGCTGTTGATTGCTTATTATCATATCTGGTTTCTATTGTGCATTCGAAGATTTTACGTTAGCCATCTTTGTTACAATTTATGTGATATACCATCATATATTTTGACACATGATTCGTCGTTTTCTTGAATTGTAATTTCTTTGCTTTATTTGTGATTTTCAGCCATTTCTTAACTTTGAGCATATTATATTTGTTTTATGCTAATTAAAGCGAATTATAAAGTCCATGAAACAAGTCTGAAGATGAAACCAGTGTCAACAATATTCCAGGGCATTTCGATTAGTTGTTTATTTAAAATAATTATTAACGTCACAAATACAAAAGAGCGTTGAAGTGTCCATCAATTGCGACTTTGCCTATTTTAACATGCAGTGTTAGTCTGACTTACTATAGTGTTATTGTATGATACGACTCTGTAGCTTCAGCCTTCTACAGTCACTACGTGAAGCTATTTCACTTATGAAATTTGCTTATGAATATTTTGTTCTCTCATTGTATTTCCACCTAAACTTATATAAAAGTGTTACGGTATGGGATAATAATAAGTATTTAATGAAGATAATGTCATGTTTGCATAAAACTTAATAAAGTTTCAGCAGAGCCTCCACGTTGAATAATAGAAAATCAAAATCTCATGATTTAAAAGTTTTCTTTCTTTTGTCTCTTCCATGTACTCTAACTCGAGATCTTGGAAGTCATATTTTAAATAACAACTCGGGCTTATTTATTGAACAGAACCTCTACGGTGTTCGTCCATAGAATATTACAGGATGAGAAATGTTTATTAAACGTGCATCTTAAGAATTTATCCCCCATAAAATGAGTCAAGATATCACTGTTTACCAGTAGGAGACACCAGTACTAAGGATGAACGAAAAGTCCTCACTGTAAAAATTAGCAGGTAACAAATCATCCGTAAAAAAACAGCACCAAAAGACAGAAAAAAAAATGAATTGTAATTTCTAAGAGAAGAAACAAAAACAATATCTTAAACACAGAAGGCAGAAGAACGAATAAACGTTTTGTTGTAACGTTATTTCTTTGTCAAGTTATCAAAATATGGCTTACAATATTACGTAAGGTTTAAAACTACAAAATAATAATACTTAACTCAAAAGATCATCTCAGACATCAAAAATGGAAAAAGATAGAACTACGAATCACGTGTAAAATTTAACACTCGAATATGAAAGAATTACGTACTATCCAGAAGACTCATTATTTGTATAATTTACATCATAAAGTAAAAAACTTTGAAAAATAAATCAAGAAAATAATTATAACACCCTAAAAATATATAATGTGAAGAACGAGAAACCATTACCAATACTAGGAAATAAATAAATTATGAATTACTTGAAAAAAAAACACAGAAATAAGAAATAGTTAGATTAAGCTGAAACCCTAATAGTAGAGAAAAGAACAAGGTACTTTGTCACTATAAAATATTTAAGTGCTAAAAATTACGAGTAATACATAACTGTGGATAATAAAAATGCTATAAATGAACTGAAGCTCCACCTTTAAAAAAGAGAAACCACTCAGATATAAGGACTATACACTTACTGTAAACTCCAATTGTAAGATATGGAAATAAATCATTTGTAACACCTGCCATAAGATAGAGGGCTCAAAGACGATTTGTAACATTAACACTAGAAGAATCACCTGTCACACTTAACCAGAAGAACCAACAAATTAGTAGCATCATTGCTACAACTCCTGATACTGATGTGGTCTCAGTAAATCTGGTGTCACTGCTCACAATATATGTTCTTCCTCCAGATGGTAGTGATCATCTTGAAATATTACTCAATTTTTAGTTAGTCAAAAAATTTGTTTGAAGATAGTTCTCTTTTGACATATCACTTACCTTCAAAGTTGTTTAAATAGCTTTGAACAGTTGACGAGAATCATTTCATAACATTCAGTTCCCGTTTCGGAATCATTTCCAGTGCTGAAAAATATACATCTTCTCTAAAGCTTTACTTCATCACTGAAGATATAGACTAACACTCTGCTTACTAGTCAGCCCTATTGGCTGGAAGGAAATGAGGATAGAGGAGGATAGTACAGGTTGTTCATTCTTACTTTTTAAGAAGTTTTTCAATGAATAATGCTTAAGGTTATGAGCATTTGCATTGATCGACACATTACATCTAAGCCAATGAAACTTTATTTTTCTCGGAAGAAAGTTTTAAAACTTATGTGGTATTTATAGGATCAATAAAATGACAAAATGCCTCACTCGACCACGCTACATGGTGTTCAAAGTTTTTTCTATCCATGGAAGAAAATGAGATACTCGTGTGTAAACACCTGGAAAACCTGGTTCGCCGCACATATAACCGAACGAAACTATGCCTACAACAGCGTATCCGCCGTTTCCTGATACCACCAGAGGGCCTCCAGAATCTCGCTAAAATAAAGCAAAAACAAAATAGGAAACATTAAAGGTAGTATTAGGCTTCGATAATTTAAAAAACGAAACAGAATTACAACTGACAAACCTCGAAGTAAAAGATACTGAGTAAGACATTCATCTGTTATCATGTACAGTGTATGATTTTTTTTTAATAACTAACTTAGAATATTTATTTTTTGACAGCAAATAACAAGTTTAAAGATATGTAATACGATTTCTTTGAATTACCGTCCATTGAAAAAGGTGTTTTGAATTATAAATTTAGAAAAGGTAATTGTATTAATTTTATTTTTTTAAAAATGTTAATCAAAATTAAATACAAATAAACTGACTTAAGACATTTTGTAAAATTCAGCACAAACTCTTTCAAACAAAAAATTACTTGAGTCTGTTTTCTTGAAAATTATCAACTGTGAACTAAAATTTAATATTGATGAATTTGATGTGTATCAGATATTCGAGCAAAGATATAAAACTATCTTCGCTGACAATCAATAATTTTGAACGGATAAACTAATTAGGGAAAGTAACTAGTCTATAACAACCAACAAACCTCTTGAATTTATTTAATTGTCAGTCTTATATCGCATCTACAACTGTATAGTACGGAGCGTGATTTTCTGATAATATGGTGTGAACCACGTTCTGGTACATCCATTGTTATATACACTCCACTTACAGGGTGGATGCATATATACATTAGGTGGTGGAGTGCAGGAATGGGTGATGCAGATCTTCCACACATCCCAAATACTCTCTAGTTTTTGATTTTATTATATACCTACGTTCCAACAATTTGGGGATGAAATATTTGTTACTGGTCTCTGCACTTTTTACGAGTCGAAAACTTGGTTTCTAGGGAGACTGTAGCTGCTAGGTGGAAGCTACCATTTCCCCAACTTATTCAGTTCTATTCTATAGGGAGACTGTAGCTGCTAGGTGGAAGCTACCATTTCACCAACTTATTCAGTTCTATTCTATAGGGAGACTGTAGCTGCTAGGTGGAAGCTACCATTTCACCAACTTATTCAGTTCTATTCTATAGGGAGACTGTAGCTGCTAGGTGGAAGCTACCATTTCACCAACTTATTCAGTTCCATTCTATAAGGAGCCTAATATAATCTATAGACGTTACTTCTTGAAGTAAGATAAGTCATGACCAGGATACTGCGCGGAGCGGTAACGAGTATAAGGTAGATTATCTACTTTCCTATAACGTACATAATGGCTTACTGACCAGAGACCGTGATTAGTACTTTGGGGGTAACTAACCTATCTTGGATAACTTGCTGATCCAGGTATGAAAAGGCACATCCTAGGAAATAGTGAAGTGTTGGTTGCAGGCTGGTTGTATGCACACTGTAGTTTACGAGTTACTGATGACGGAGAAGATGAAAGAATGAGAATTAAATTGATGTTTTTGCGGACCATTTTCTAGTCGTCAAGGGAGTTTAGCCGAATTTTAGAGACTGTTTTGTACTTGATTAGTGAAGGACTTTTCGTCTCTATCCCTCTGGCTGAATTTTGCCGACGTCCAGCTATTATACTCAATGTACAGGCCGCCATTTTTAAGTGGACCCATCCCTACATACGGGTCGCTACCGCACTTTCTGCTAGCCTGCCCCTACAGTGGCACAGTAGTAAATCTGTGGATGTATATGATAAAAACCGTGTTTTGATACACATGGTGGGCACAGCACAGATAGCCCATTGTGTAGCTTTGTGCTTAACTATGAAGATCAAAACAAACAAAACTTACAGTCTACTTAATTCCGTAACGAAACGTTTTTGTTGTGTTTTTTTTTTTCATATAAAATGTGCAACCTATACATAATTATCATGTGTCACTATAACATTCAAACTCTAGATGTACAGGCCGCCAATTTTAACCAGACACATCTCTACGTAGGGATCGCTACTGCTGTCCCTAATGTGAACTTTATGAGTATGAAAATAAAAAATCAGAATGATATTAATTATTCTCTAAACTTAAAATATTTGCCTTCCTAATTCATATCAAGAAGAACTGAAAGATAAACCTAACCTGGCATGCATCTACTCCTCCTTTCTCGTAACCAGCACATATAAATTGTTCAGTAATCCCATGCGGTAAGGCTTTTGCATTAAAATTCCGATAGGCGGCCTTACAATCGATGTTTGATACGATGGGAATGTGAGCTTCTTGAAGAACTTCAGGTGATCGTCCACCTTATAAAAAATGACAGTAAAATATTTTATTGGAAAATGTAAAAATTATCAAAACTCCTGTGTATTTTAAACAGAAAACACTGATAATCGTTTAAATCGTACAACATAAATACAAAATGCTTTCAAGTATGATAAAAAAAACATACCAAAAGCCAGATCCCCCCAGCCAGTACCAGTAGCAAAGGTTCCTGGTGAAATATCTGCACTGCCCAAAATTGTTGGCGTGGGCCAACAAACTGGAGTACCATGATGAGTGTTTTCTGTAAGCCGCAAGAGGGCAATGTCGTTATAATAGCGTTGACTGTCATAATTTTCGTGAACCATGACTTCGGCAACATTGTAGTCTGATTCACTTACCAGGGAAAGGTCCAACTTACTCGATTCCAAGCGAACGAAAAGAAATTTTGCAGGACTGTAATCAAAAGTTAGTAAAACGTGTAAAATTACTACTTCAGATATTTTGTAAGAAAACGCTAATGAATAAACAAGTTATTATATGACTTCTTTACTTCTACTTTTCTGACACATATTCGTTCCTGTCACGTCAGATGTTCTTACCAATTTGTAATATATTTTTTACATCGATGATTTCTGGATTGCCAATTACAATTTGTAAGCTTGAACCTGTCAGAAATATTTAGCTGATAAAAATTAACAAAATATAAACGTTCACATGACAGGTCTGTGACAGCTTGTTAAGCAGCAAACATACTTACATAAATGTAGCAAAACTAGTAAACTACTTACATCTTTCTGTTGTGATCAACGAAACAATGGGCAGCGCTTAATATGTAGCGAGTGTTCACTAGTGTTCCTCCACACAGAAACCGTTTACTGAAAGTAAATTTTCTAAAGATGGCTGCCTAAAAATAATACACAAATATAATTTCTTAAAGTTGATGATAATAATCTTCCAACTGAATGAATTAGTTATAAACTACAGAGCTACTAGAGATTAATACAAAACTAATCTGTTTTTATCTACTATATCAATTAAAGGTTGTTAAAATACATTTATGATGTTAGAGCAATTAATCTATAAGAAGTGACGTCAGTAAATTAATACGCCTTAATCAGCAGAGTTTATCCACAATTTCCCCTTCAGTTTGCGTTTATACCTCTAGTAACGCAGGTGAAATGTTAAATTATTTCTAAATCGATACACGAGAAAAATTCGTATTTCTCTTTACGAATTTAAAGCTAACATTAATTGTGCGAGTACGGAATCCATAACACGCTTATGAAGTAGATTGGGAGTGAGTTGGCTTACAATAATGGTTTGATAAGATAGCGTCAAACTGTGGACCATTCGACTGTTGTAAATTATTCAGTTAAGGGGTCTTTAACCGAAAAAGAAGCAACACCCTAGTCAGATAAGTTAGTGACAGACTGAAGACTACTGAAAATTATTCAGTTAAGGACTCACTGACTGAGCGACAACCACAAATTTACTCTTATAAGGTAGTGACAAACTATGAACCGTTTTAAGTTCAGTTCAGGACCCGCTTGAAAGGTTATAGACAAACTGTGGACCACTGTAAAGTATTTAGTTAAGAATGTAAGATTTACTGTACTATACTATCAGTGAATTGAATAAATGACAGGTGGAGATTATCATGGAATAGTTTAAATGTTTAAAAATGGAACTATTACGACAGGAAACAATCAATTATATGATGATAAACGGTATGATCCTAAACCTACATCATGATAAAGTAGCCTCCTTGAGAGCCTTGTTAATAATCTGGTATTCAGACTTGAATAAAATTTATAATTTCGAATTTAAAGGCAAATTGTGTATTTTCTCTGAATCTGAATTTAAAATAAATAGATCTGACTGCATATCCGAGAAGCCCTAGTTATTCATACAAAAAAATATAATACTAGGATGGAAGAAGAAAACATGCGACATCACTAGTTAGGGAAGTTCTTGTATGGCTCGCCACCAGAGGGCACTACACATGTGTCGGATTCAGGGTGGGGAGGGGGATGATGCCAAAGGGCACGTTGCTAGGGACACATTGGTAGGCCGCAATGACAGGCAGCCATGACGTCATAGTTCCACAGCTTGTCACCAGAGGACCAGCTATCTTAGAGAGGGTTGAAATTATAGTTCGACACCAGACAGACGGCTACGACGTAATAGTTCTACGAAAACAGAGAAAGTGTTGTAAACAGTATACATTTTCTATGTTCATTAATTCCATTTTGTAATTGTTAACTATTCTTTATGAATAAGTAATATTGCTAATCTGAATATAGTACACAACACATTTTCCTATACAACTCAATCATTGTTTGACCTTATTAGAACACGATATTGAATAAGTTTGGTGTGCAGGTATACAATATGTTTCTTATCCCCTAGTTAGAATCCCATACTGAAAAGATAATGGTGTGGCTGGTGTAAAGAAATAGATGTAAAAGATGTGCTCTTTTCTGAGACTACAGTGACAGAAAGGGAAAACACATAGAATCTATCTCCTACTAGGGGGAGTGAAAGCAACACTAGGTTAGTGACCATACCCATCTCCAGCAGGAATACTCTTCATCCAGTATTGGTGGTTTTCAGAAACGTTCATTCAAATAAACCTCCCTCTCTTTATTAAAGTGTCGTAAATGGAGGTGTAATGTGTAGGCTGCTCATCTCCCAGTGAGTTAGCTGACCATAGAAGTGTGGTTAAGGCAATATGTCGTACATTATGTGAGTAATATGTAAAATAAACTTAAAAAAATATGTAGGTTCAGGGATAAATCATGTCAGACCTGTATCTTAAAGAGAACTTAAGACCCATCTGCCTAGTCACAACAACTAGAAATGGTCTGGTTCTTAGTACTAGGGGTGGCCACTGTATTACTCAGTCCCATATTAATTGGATTATGTCAACCCAAAGCGGAATTCTCCACATAAACCTCTCCAGTAGCTTGTTACTGGAAAATAATGGGTTTTCCATACTCCACTGTAAGAGATCAGGATGGAGGAATTCACATAGGGAAGAATACCAGAGAGATATTATGGACTGAACAGGAATATTTTCCTTTGCATAAGGTTACTCACTGAGAGACTGTGCAATGGGTTATTACAAATAAGGACAGCAGGAGCTATCTTGTGGAGTGGTTTAGCCACTTCTGTTTTTTTTTCTGTACAGCTTGGAACTAATAAAGTACGATACTGTCAAAGCAATTTGACAGAAAACACCATCTCAACAATGGGCACTGAGTAGAGATAGATGGGATTAACACTTTCTGTTATCCCCTTCTCAGTGCAGTGTTTTAGGCAAAGAAGTATTCACTGTGAGGGGTAAAAGTCAAACCTGTAATGTCAATAAATTATTAACAACTCACTTCCTTAGACTCTTGGAACATTTGAGAATGGGAACTGCAAAGAGATAAAACCACAATGTGATGCAAGTATGTGACACAAAGATGTCTTCTGTCATCCACATCTCTAACTGCAAAAATTTCAACCAGGGTATGTTGACAATCAGAGGCGAGAGTATAAGTGACATGGGATGTGATATCAATGAGATGAAAAGTGTCACTTCACACAGAGAAACAGACAAACAAGATGAATTGCTTAACACATTCAGCCAAAGTGGAAGAAGATAACTCTCGCAAAGTAGAGGGTCCCCATGGTAAGAAATGATAATTTTGATTGCCTTTAATATATACAAAATATCAATTTTTTTCAACAGTCTTAATATGGAATGTTGGTCAAGGTAGTACCTACATTCCGTGTGTAAATAGCATGAGAGGAATTTAGTGGTTATATTGACCAACATTTTGTATTAAGACTAAATAACTAAAACATACAGTTTATCATGGCAAAGATTACTTTATGATAAAACATACTACTTCTGAAATCGTCAGTGGACCTTTTCACTGATAAGTCAGACGATGCCCCATTGATAAAACAATGCATATTTGGATCTGAAAGTGACCATCAGTCAAGTCGTTAGCGACTGTTTCATAAGAAGAATGACATTGTTGTTTTCATTACAATGACTGTTCTCTTATTCTTGAACAAGATATAGAAAGATTTCAATATTTACAGATTTTCATATTTAACAATAGCACACAGTTTCTCCAGTAAAGGCAAAACACTATACACTTATTTATTTAATTTGATTGTTTTATGTTTGAAATAAAGATTGTTTTATTGTGTTTAACATGTGTCCAGTTTCTTTCTTTGTGTCAAATTCAGTTCAGGTTAATATAACTCCAGTTTTTGTTCTGGAACACATTATCTGGTGAGCTTCCCGTTATTCAGTGTTTCCTAACCAACTAGTCAGTGGGAAATTAGTGCATCTGAGTACAGTACAGAATTACTATGAAGTGAACGGATAAAGCAAAGAAAGCAGAGCAAGCCCATTAGTGGGACGTGGCGTGAGTATGCTGCTGGCCCACCACTACGAGGTAGTACTGAGTTTTAAAGGGATGAAACTTCCAAAGACGGATGACACTTAGCTGATGATCCCACTGGTGTTGGCACTGAAGGCAACTACAGTTTTCAGCCTTTGTGTATTGAATTCTAGTATTATCGATACCAGTGACTGATAGGAATAGTCTGGTGACAGCTTGTAGAGACAGCCGACTGCTAAGAAAGACTAGCATCAGGGATGCATGGATTAGCAGTCTGGGCACCAATTCTTATGAGCACCCAGTTTATAAAGCTTCAAAGTCTATAAAGAAAATATACCCTCATGGTCTTCCGAGAGGGGGGTGAGGATGATAGATCTATATGGATGGATTCAACAGATTTAAGCTTAGAATAACCAGCCATCATCATCAGGTAGGAAACTATCAACGTCCAGGACACATGGGAGATAGGCCAGGAAAGGTGTTTAACTACAGTTCCCAGGCAAAATCAGCAAAAAGATGTAGTAAATAGTGAGATGAAGGCAAAAGTGAAATGGCCTGCTATGAATGAGGGAAATGCATGGTGTGAATTCGACGAGAACATTATCATGGTGCTTGAGAACACCTTGAAAGGAACATCAAAAGGGAAGTAAGAAGTGATGGATGACGTGATCCATAACTTTCGGAAAGTGAGATTTAGCATTCTAGAATGCAAGAGACAGCAGCCCGAGCATATACCAAGTAGGCACCAGAAGAGAATTAAAGGCTCGAGGCAAAGATTGAAAGAACTGGAAAAAGTGGAAAACACTGAGACATATTGAGCAATAAAAATGTAAAAGGAAGAGGAGAGAGTGCCAAAGGAAAGTTTTGTCAACAATCCCCACCAGTTCATGAAAAAGCTGTTTGAGGAGAGTAAGAGTAGTGAGCTTGATATTCCCCATGAGCAGCTGCAAAATCACCTCAAATGCACTTACTCTGATGGAAATCAGAATACACTGGTTCCGGAGAGACCTGGCATAGAGTTTGACATAATGAAACCACCAAACTGGCGGAGGTTGAGAGGTTCATTATGAGAGCAAGAGCAGCTTCTCCTCCAGGCCCATATGGAGTACCATATAAGGTGTACAAGAAGTGTAGTGGATTTCAAAGTTTCTTTGAAGACTGCTGAAAGTTGTTTGGAGGTCCATCTTCATGGAATGAAGCTGTGGGAGTGTACATTCCCAAGGAAGAAGGTACAAGCAACTTCAGACAGTTTCGATTAATTTCGCTGCTCAATGAGGAAGGCAAGATCATGTTTGGAATAATAACAAATTAACATTTCTGTTCAGAAGGCAGAGATACCAGGCTTTCCAGGGTGTTTGGGCATACAAATATGATATGCCATACCATTCAGGAAGCAAAGAGATCCGAGTGTGGTATAGTTTTATCTTGCCAGTTCTTATCGATCTGTATCACATGCATTGATTGTCTATGCTATAGACTTCTTCTAGATTTCTAACAAAGT